TCTTTTTCAGAATGGCCGGTTCAACGATGATTTTTCGGGAAGCTCGATGAAGGACGTGAACCGTGGTATAATTGTAATCGAAACGATCCTCTGGAGAGAATTGTGTTATCACAGGGTATTCTTTAAAATAATCTCGGATTGAGAATATTTCGTGAAAGGAGGTTTTTGGTAAGCGTTCGTCGGGTATCCACGGCCACGCACGCATTAATATTTATGAGTCAAGGCGCGTGCATTTTCTGCGGTACAAGTTGTTCAATGAGCGGCAATTGTCAGCGACGGCGGCGTTCACTTAAATTGCTCATCGAATATTCATGCGCGGCCGCCGGGAATGCCGTTTTCGCCCGATACCTAAATACGAATAGAAAAACTGCGCGGAATATTGTAAATTATTTGCTGATCGGTATGTCCGGCCATTAGTGCTTTTGAATTACAAACATTTATTACGTTGCACGCTGCGGAATGCTCGTGGATGACGATGCACCTCTATACGAGGGTCGTCTAAAAGCCCCTAGACAACCGTTCAGATTTTTGTCTGTTTCCGTACAGGGAACACAGTGAATCGTTGCGAAGTCAAAGTTTCAATCAAGTCCCACCGGTAATAACTTTCACTGTACGACTGGCCTGAACTGGTACGAACTGGCCCGTTTTATTAGATCATGGGCCAATTTACACCGATATCCATCTTCGATAAACGTAAAAATATTCTATTATAATTTTTATGCTCGAGCCTGGTCGAGCTCTCCGATCTTTTTCGAGGGTCAACGGGATTCCGGGAACAGTTCTCTTCAGGTTTTCGTTTCTTTTTCGATCGTCGAACACAGAAGAGGGATTGTGAATTCGGTTGGACCCAGAAGAGAGTTGTTCCTCCTGTACCACCGCGGAGAGAAGGTAGAAGATGTATACTAATTGAAGGGCCGGTTAGGAGCAAGACAGTAGCAAGTCTTCTGATTAACACCTCCGCAAGGACCACACACGCACACAACAGTCTTCTTTAGTTTCAAGAATTTTCAGTCCTATTTTTGTTTATCCAAAGAGAGAGAGTCTCAATCTATACTTCTCTCTGTGTACACGCGTGTAATAATGATACGGCCCTTTTCAACAGGATCATTGTTCTTTATTGTTCTTGCAACGAGGCGCGAGAATAGGGACGAAGAAATGCCCTTTAGGTAACTCTAATATTTCTGGTCAATTCAGAGCCGAATATAGACGAATGCATACCAAATTTCTAAATCTAGTTTATTCATAATAATATGAAGAAAATTATCGTAGTTTAGCTTTTGTTCTAACTTCTGGATGTTAGTGGATATAGAAACAGAATGCAGGTGACATTATTTGGAAATGTAACTGCTGTATATGGATGTTTGGGGGAAAAAGAATATTCTGGAGAATTAGGCCGCCAGGGTGCCACTAAATCGCCACTGGAAACGCCGGAAATATGTTCCGAGCGGTGTGCAGAAGCGGGAAGAGGACGCGTTTGCGAAAACATCAACAGCCAGAAGGAGGATAGGGGGCGGGTGAGGGGGGTGAAGCGACTGCTTTCGGAAGTTCATGAAAGTTCGTTTTTTCCCGTACTGTGATGCATTATGCTCTCGAGACGGACTGACCTGAAATCTTCGGCCTCTGCGCTGCTCTCCACGAAGGAAGAGCATCGCGACTCGTCATTCCGGTGTGCTTTCTACGGATTCGTTCGATATATACTATGTGTCTCTCCCAAAACATCTCCACTATAAATATTCCTTTGAATTTTCGTTTAACCATTTGATCCTGTAATTTATCAATATCAAAGGGACATTCACGAGACGAGAAATTAACGATAAGACGATTCGATTCAAGCCAGCGCAGAATAGATGAGAAATGTACTTCAACAGAAATACTTGAAAATTCAGTTAAAAATCCCGTTTCTAAATACTTCAGTTGTAACTAAACTCTGACGTCCTGTTTAACCCTTTACGTTATAACATCGAGTCAGACTCGTGGTGGCCATATAAAAATCGATTCAACAAACAGAAATATTATTCGTATTCTTTGAGTCAAAGTGAAATACTAGATTGCTGATATTAATATTTAACTTTCGGAGTAAATGTACAATTGCGATAAGAACACAAATTCCTTTTGTTTCTGGGGAATTATTGATGATAAAGTAATTCAAGAAAATCATAGGGCAAGAGGTTAAGATACTAAAGTCAACTCAAGCAGCATTTTAGTGAACATACGACCTAAAGTCTTCATCTCCGAAATGTCTACGGCCGCGATCGTACCGCGCGTCGTTCCGGCAACGGTAGCCAGGCGGTATATTATTCAGCCGATAGAGAAACGACCGGCCCTCGTACCTGTGTCACATTCTACCCGGTATGCTGTCCGAGAGCGACTACTTCGCCCGATGGAGTACTTGGTCGGAGGGTACTCGAGGCCAAGTCGAGAGAGACCTCTCTACATGGGTGGTCCATTCTCCTTACGCATGCATTATATAAGTTCAGGAAAGTTCACACTAAGGATACACGGGGAGCTATCCTGGGGCTCCGTCCAACGGAATTTGTTAATTGCATCCTAAACCGTTTTCTCACGCCCTCCACGGTCTCTGCCCCTTCGACTTTATCTACGGAACGCGTACGTTCACGGGACAACGTGACTTCGCTTGATCGGTTTTAGTATCTCCACTTGGATACTGCACGGGCGATACTTCGTTGGAGTATATGTTGATACTCGGAGAAAAATCATTGAGTGTTCCGAAGGCATATATTGTCGAGTGATTGAAGCATCTAACTATTGTCATCTTTCGGGTCTAGGCAAGAATGGATGCGAGAGCAAGTTGAGCCGAAAGAAAATCTCATCAATAACCGACCGTGTGTACTCGAAGAACTTCGTCACGAAGTGTATCGCATAATTCAAATTGCGGACATGTATATAGCCGGATCCGAGGGACGACTCGCCCCATTCGTGGGCCATCGGAGGGCAACACGGTCGATTCATCATACCGTGTCCTGAGCTCGCGGTATAACCTATGAGATGTGGAATACGGAGAGGCAGAGAAACGTGGCCTGTATGCCGCAGATAAGAACGGACCCTACATCCCCGTAACGTTAGACTCCACCCTTCCGCGCGATCAAAATTCCTTCCGGTCCCCAATTATGTTTCGGATACTTGCGTGGTCACGAGACGATTCGTGGAGAAGCAGGGAGGATCGTGGAAAAAGTACGCACCATATTGCACGAGAAAATTATGATTCTACTTTAAGAATAAATCGACGAATTCCGGAAATTATTCTAAAAGAACTATTGCGTTCGACTACATAAAAGAAATGTGTATACAGATTACGTATGTAATTGAAATAGCGAATGTAAGTACATTATTGAATATCAATGGCACTTGGCCCATTATTAAACCCACTCTCAAAACGGGGCAGCTTCAAGCAATAGAATTTCAAAAAATGCAGCATATGGCAAAACAGAATTATACATATTTAACGGTATTCAACAATTGTTTCTAGGTAATATAGAGAATTCTTATGAGATTAATTATAAACTAGTGGTTTGCAAAATAAAAAAGTATATTTTCGTAAATATTAAACGTTAATAATGAGGAACTCTTGTCATCCATTTTGAAATGCACGAGAGACTCGTTGTGCACTCTCACGGCCCAGAGTGGTACATTGAGACGTAGCAACGAGTTTCTCTGTCGATAACTTGTTTCAAGACTAAACACACTGTCTATAAATCTTTCTTAATCTAATGTGTCCGCTTACTGTCGGATCGTTACTAATGCCTATACAATAATTAAATAAGCATGCTCTGTTTAAAAACGTAATCTCAACTACGACAATATGGCGAAAAGTACGTTACGGTTTGAACACGAAAATTGAATTCCGTTTTGAAGCTTATATATATGATCACATGTCTCACAAAGAACAAAATAATAGAAACAACGATTAAAAATATGCTTCACTTACTTTTTTAGGCATCGATCTGGATAATTTCTCGCATATTTTCACAAATTTACACAACTTTTCACAGAGCACTTTTCACACCACATTCGTAAGTCGCAAACTTAAATTCGATTCGATATATCGCGAGCGGTTAGTTGAGATTACGCACTTCCACTCCCTCCGTCGATAATAATCGCATATCGAAGGTGGCCGGAAAGTATTTTTTTTTAAATCATTATACGTGGATAATGTCTCTGGCAGCTAAAACTACGTTTGTGGGATGTTGTATCATTTCGATTGGAATAACAGCTTATGTGCATTACAGACAAGAATCTGACCTGTGAGTTAAATAATTCTGTTTCAGAAGTTAGGTTAAGTACTTAGTGGCGCTTATAAACAGAGCTCCATGATGGTCGTGACACCGTCGCGTAACATGGACTGTATTGAATAAATAAAACAACATGTGCGGGACGTAGAGTACAGTAAACAAACTCAGGTCAGGGTAAAACCCTTTTTTCCAGACACTTCTATTCTCTTAAACTTTTCAAAACAGGGAAACTTAAAATCAGAATCTATGTGAAATTCTCTAAGTTCTCCAACTAAACCTTTTGAATTAATCTAATTAAAAAGATGTAATCGATACTATATCGTTAAACAATATTATTGCAAATATTATAGAACTGAATCTAATTAAGAAAATATTAGTAAAATCCATGTTTATATAAATGTATTTAAATTCATACGTTTATTCCATGTTACATGATGCAGGATGTCGCAGGATATTTTCCGTGAATGGCTCTGTATACTTCCCATAACTGTTCCAGAGAAAAGCTTCATGAAGGTGTAATTCGTGATAACGAAAGACGAGAACGTAGAAGAATACAAAATTTATATAATCTCGAACAGCAGAGAGAATTAACGAAGAAACTACAGGAATCAAGAAATGAGTCAGAGTCACTTCACACTTCGTAGCTTGTAAACATAGTTTAACCCTTCCTGTAATCGACTAGTCTGTTACATTTAACGCTCATCAATTGTGTATTGTATTTACGCTCGTTACTTCCGTATCGGTACTTGTAACTTGTCTTTTAAATTAAGTGTATGTTAGGGAACACGGTTCCCATGAGTATAATAATGACTACAGAAGAGCCAGTAGATCAACCAGGTAAGTACATGTATGTACACGAAGGAGAAAATGAATGAAATATTTTAATATATTAATTTTATTTAATCCAAAATCTTCTAGACTTAATTTGTGTGGAAGAGAGTCTCATGAGCTTGGAAAAGCTGGATAGAGCATCACCTGATCTATGGCCTGAGCAAAGTGAGTTCATGTTAAGAAACATACATGTTGCTTTAAGTGAAAGCGGTAATGTATCATATATGTTAGCGGTTAATGAAGTTCCAGGTGTTAATGAGTTTGTTGCTCAAAATTCACCGCAAACTGAACCATCATCCTGGGCTGCTGGTCTCACACCAGATGACATAAATCAGCTACACCGTCAGTTCTTAGTTGATAGTAAATTACGTAGAATAGTAGTCTATATTATATAAAAAAACAAGTTCGACATTATTTCAGAATTGGGAAACTTGTCAATGACCGGTTTAATATCCGAAGTAAAAAAATTACATGACATGGCTTATCAGTTGGGATTGGAAGAGGCAAAAGAAATGACTCGTGGAAAATACTTAAACATCTTCAAACACAAATAGGGAAATTCTGGCCTGTAAAAAAATGATATGTAAGTCAATGTTCATATCGTACCTGTGTTAACCAATTTTATGATCGATACTAACCATCCTATTCTGTAATCAACAGTTTTCTAAGATCCAACGTATATAACTTAGTACATTGACAAAGACTGAAGGAAAGTTTGTGGCCGAATTACAATTGGAACCATATGACAAGATGCCTAACTAAAAATTATGTACAAATGATTGTTGGTACTGTATAAATCCAGTATAATTGTATATGATTATGTTGTAAATATATTAAGATTTCAAAACCTACAAAATATACTATAATTCTTACCAGAAAATAAGAATCCCCATATCTGAATAAAAGGGGACTCCCACTGTATCCTGAACAAGGCATTTCATCTCCTATAGCGCAAAGCTCGACCGACAGTCCTTGATCATAATAACTCGAACACTCTTGATTCGGTATAATTCGCATTCTTAAAGACTGCTGCTGACAGGACTTCACTTAAAATTCAGACATATCATTAATCTAAATACATATTTGTTTCTTCCCGTTTATATCGTCCACGTTTCTTACTTCTTTGACTGGACAGTTTTCCCCATCCAACGAGAACAGGACTAACAGTTGGATTTAACAGTCTGTCTGCTGGTGGAAGACATATTGGTTGCACACTTGCTAAATTAACAGAGTCAACAAGCTCATACATACAACTTTTACAAGAAGAAATCATACTGAAATATTTATTGCATCAATTAATTACCGGTATATTGTATTGGTTCTTGTAAACGCAACATTGCTATGTTGTTGGCAAAAGTATCCGTTTGATAATTGGGATGCTTTATTACATACGATATATTATGCTTCTGTGTGTTGCAATCGGGATCTGTTTCGGCGTTAAACTCACCAACAAGTACGGAATATCTGTTAGAAACATTAAAAACAAACTTGAAGATTCACTCTAGAAGACCACAAAATGTTCTACATACAATTTGTAATCGTCAGTTTTTGCAAGCGCACAACTTGCAGTGGTCAGTATCGTCCGTTCATTCAGAATTACACCGGTACAAGGGTATGTTATTTTCCCAGTTGCTCCTAAAATACAATTGCACAAAATTTCGAACACTGTCTATTTAGTATCTAAGACCAAAGTTAGTAAGGGACCTACTCATAAAGCCAATCCTTGCGACAAAAGGGTACATCCCCAAAGTATTAGAATTACTCCGAACAAAACTTTTCCCACATTCTAGAATGGAATTCGATCTCGTAAAAAGTGTACCACCTGCCTGAGTAAATGCTGGATTCGCAGTATGGCTACCTAAATCACAGCAGATCTTTGCTTTGACGTTCTCATAGCCACAGATCGCTTGACGAAATCTAAGTAAATATTGAAACATTAAAATTCTGATACTTATGACTGAATTATAATCGCATTGATTCACCTGTGAATAGGTAGCAGATTCTGACTCATCAGATTGAAAACAGCCGGACAGTTCTCGATGTGAGTGCACATCTTATCGTTTGGACAGTTGATCGAATTACTTGAGTACGGCTCGGTTAAGAAACATTGAGTTTGTCCAGCGACACTAAACGCGAGGGCCACGTGCAAGAACACAGACGAAGAAAACATTTTTCTCTGATCGACTGACACCGTTTCAAACATATTCCGAACTGAAGTCTCCGAGGGATCCCATTTCATGCAACGCGATAGATTTCCCAGCTTTGGCTACCTTGGATCAAGGCATTATTTGTCCTTCCGGCGGAAGTCTCATTGTCGGGAAAAAAATAGTTTTCCAAACGATCACGCAGAAAACATTAAAGGCGATCCGTTGGTTCTAGTGTGACAAAAGCTTATCTATTGTACATATACATAGTTTCATTTAGAGCATACCATTTATGTGGACTTTATTATTCAGAACCAATTAATTCAAAGTGTCTACAACTTAGGAAACTAACGTCTTTCTTCTAATACAATTAACACAATCTAAATTAATGATATTGACAGTGTAAGTGACGATTTTCATTAGATTTAATGGCGGTCTCGACGATGTTTGTACCCCTCACGAAATCCACTGCCACGATATTCGCGGAATACTGCCAAACGGTGCTGTACCAATTAGTGACATTAGCGTTCACTTTGTGCGCCATATCACGAAGGCTTCCCAGTCGATTGTAAATTACATCTATGAAATTCGCAGTCAATTCTGCCATTGCTGCTCTTGGCCTTAATCTATAGTCACTGGTTATAACGAAAAATTAATGATTTTAATTATTAACTAATATATTCGTTCGTGTAACAGTTCGTTTTCCAAGGTCCGTACCTGTCATTGGTTTCAATTTTATCTAGATGTTTGTACAAATCCTCGATGCTCCTGACGTTGCCCCATTGATGCCGCACGCAAGGCCACACGCTAGCGTGTTCCCGAACAATCTGCATGTTCTCGTATCCGATTATCAATCTTTTTCCGGAAGACCAAATCTCATCCATCGTGATAGTCCATCCATAACCGTTTGTTAGGAAATAATCCTGAAATTCATCCTCTAGAAATGACGCAAGCCTGCGATGGGTGGCTATACCATCGAATCCTAATAAAGAAAAATCAATTGCAATGAACAAAAAAAGAACACACACAGAACAAGCAAAACGTCATTACAAAAGAACGTGTATAGATATTACCAATGGGAAATTCTCGTAAATCCAGTATCACAATTTCGTCTGTGTAATCGAGGAACTGTTTCACTTGATCCACGACTGTTTTCAACGGTACTGATCGATAGAAGGGACCGTGATTAGTCCACCAAATCTCGTTCGACAAAGGATAATGACCCACTCTGATGTCCAAGTACCGTACACCGTGTATCAATTGACCCAGAATGTCTATATCCTGAGGATTCCCTGACACGTATCGTTAACGATGATGATAATCCAAACAAATACATGCATCTTGCGACGAGGGTTAAAATAGAAGAGATATTTTGATTTTACACGATACCTGTGTCACAGCTGGGTTCGTGATGAAGTTGCCCTTCTGATTTTCCGTGTAGCACGCGGAATCGTGTGTACCAGGAAGAAAAATTTGGCTGATCTTGCGAGGACCCAATATGTCCTGTCTTTCCTTCATCCACGTCGGCTGCGTCTTCATACAGTTCGTCTCCTTTAAATCACCGATCGCTGTTTGCAATGCTACACTGTATTCTGAGAGAGAAAAATATTATTACAACTTCTCTTTGTTAATTAACGAGACATAAATGACGATCTTCACCTACTCGTACATCGTTGCACGAACGAAAGTTCCGTGCTGGGTACAAATTCCGCCTGTATCCCCGTTTTTTCCAAACCACTAGACCCACCGGATGTCACATGGTAAAGCACAACCGGAGAGTTTGGACGACTCGTGTCCAAAAGCACGATCTTTTCTTCGGGTTGGAGATTCACATTGTTCCAGTAAATTTCGATCTCGTGCATAAGCGGATCGGTGGCTATGGGAGAAATAAGGAGGCCTATGCTCGATTGCCCTGCGAAGAAAACGTGTTCGTGACAGGAAAAGCTTCTGAAAGTGTCCTTGGTCTTGAGAAAAATAAAGGGACTTACAGTTCTCCGCAGACGAACTGCAAACTCTAGCAGCTAATGTTCTACTAATCGTTATAAGTAGAAACGCGAGTACTAAGGTTGTTATGCAATGGACCATTGTGTCTTGTGATTCAAAATTGTAATTGCCTTATTGTATGTTATTATAGCTGCAATGTGAAAAAAAAACGTTGGCAATAAAGATAAATCTTTGAACAAAATGTTACAAGATCAGAAGAATTTCTTTTTTTCTTACCGGAGTATTGTGTCCTTTAATGGAGACGGTTTCACTTGACGATCATGACCGTGAGTTATCGAACTTCTGATTAACCGAACTCGCGATAATCGTATGCCGAACGAGCAAGAACGATATTAAGAGAAACGAACGAGAGAGAAAAAGAGACACGCAAGAACTCGTGTGTACGACTATTTGACCCTGTATACGTCGCGCGACACTATGTAGTGCGATTTTGCAACAATTCTTTCGTTCCTCTACGACGAACGCCTCGATCAGATTTGCTGACGTATTGGATTTTTCAATTTCAGTGAAAACGGAAATTCTTCGAGGGTCGATCGCTTAAGGCCAAAATCCACTGTCCTGTTATTCAGAAAGCAAAGTCCAGGGAAGAGCGAAGGCGATCGTGGAACTACGACTGGTATACTCTACAGTCAGTTTACGTGTTGCATAAAGGCCATGAATCGTATGTATCTTTCACGCTGGTATTTTTCTCACAGTCTTACTTTATGACAGGTATTCGAGTGAACGTAAGTATAAATTAACCAGTACAATCACTTGTATGACTGTTGCTTACATCGAGTCGTTCTCATTTTAAAAAAACCGCGTCAAAATTTCTACGAAAATGATTTTGAAATTAAGGCATTGGGCACTTGTATTGTTATAATTTTATCTAAAACAACTAAATGAATCTGTTTCACACTTTCTACTACTAAGATTCAAACTTATGACTCGATACTTGTATTAATGCATTAATAAAAGTTTATTGAACAGGATATTCTTGATTGCATTTAAATTTCAAAATATCACTTCCGGTCTACACAATCGTTTTCATAAAATTCGAAAATCACGTAGTAGTTTCCTACAGTAGGCATCGTCTCCTAATATCAACCGTCGGTAAGTGATACACAAAATTAAATATTTTGCTCCTTTTCATACAAAATAAAATGTTGTTAAATCATCTTAAATATAAAATTGATTTTTAATAGTGAAAATTTGAATTTACGTGTATGGAAGTGGTAGCATTTTTTAAATTATATAGTATATATAACATGAAATTGATTTCGTTGGTAGCTAGTCAAATCCGCTATGGTCAACCGTTAGTAAGTGTTCCTTGGCGAAGCTCGCGGTCGTTCATTTATCGGCTCCTAAAAAATTTGCAATTGTCTGTAAAATACTTCAGTTTGCTAAGAAATTCTTCCACAATTCTTTGGCTAAAGTGTTGTACTTTATACGGAAATGTATTTTTGTGTCGAGATCCAAGAGTAACTGATTTTTTGGTGTTTATATCGAACCAGTACGTTAGGCAAGACGAAGCCGGGAAAATGAATCAAGGACAGAGAACATTTTGGTAAGAATTGGGGTATATGTATATCTTTCAGTTGCTTCGATTTCTTTCTAAAACAGAACTAAATTATATTTTTGTCAAATACAGGCACAGAATCTGCCAGAGCAACGGAAAGTGGTATCCTTGGCGTCTTTGATTGTCCACATCTCGATCACTGGAAGCCAGCGACCGGTGAGTGAATATTTTCAAAGTTAACAATAATATGGACGATCACAAACAATCGTATTGACAATGTTATACATGCGCAATAACCGCATGAATCGTGGAGAAATAGCAAAACAACTCCACGTCATTTATTTCATAATTTTCAACGGTTGCCTATGCACGTTCTCGTTCGAACTATGGCGCGAAATTTGAAAACCTCTCTTTCAGTCAAACGACAAACAGTTGCACGTAACTTCAGACAGTCGTTGTTCAGATCATTACCGTATATACAGACGTGTAAAACACAATGAAATAAGACCATTAATAAATATTTATACGTATTTGTATAAACATTCGGCTAATTAAAATTATAATTATAAAAAAGAAGGCAGTGGTGGGGATTTCAGTCGCAGCAGAGAAACTCAAACACATTTTAGTCATCCTCCTTTATTACAAAACTGAGAAAAAAGAAAACTTTGCGAGAGTAACAAACTTTTGGCTTATGTGACTAGTTGTAATACTCAGCGGCAATACTAAATTAGTGCAATGTAAGTATGTACATTTGTATAATTAGGTGTGGCGAGCGCGGTGAAGGCCGTGGCGACTGATCGAAGGAGTCAAACGATTTTTTTAGCGACATACCATCGCGTGTAACAAACAACAAAAACATATGCAAACATTTACGATCGTATTTTAATAAAAAAAAAAAAAAAAAAAAAAAAAAAAAGAAGAAAAACTCGAAATATCTTAGGCTTTCTTATATGTGATGTATGTCAAAACAATATCATTTATCTGTTACCTTCGTTTCAATTTTCCATTGGGATTATCTCGTATTATTTAATCATCTACTGTAAACAATACTTTTCATTCTGGACCAAGGATCGCTAAAGAAATCCGATCATCGTTTCCAATTCGCGATCGGTCGTATCAAACTTAATGTACCGTCAAGCAGAGATGGGCGCGGTGGTCTCTTTCATCCTCACGTTTACACTCTCGATCAACTACTACTTCGATATGTGTTGTACTCATTCGAAATGAAATATTATCCTACAACTATAATTAATAATCAAATTATCTTTCATCCTTGATCCGTTGGTTGAAACATTTGAACCACACTCTTAGCAACGAAGAACGAACTAGTAGGTACACACTCTTCGATGTCTCTCCAGCTCTTCATTGCTCATCGCCCTCCCCCGATCGTTTCGGTTAAGTTCTAGTCGCTAAAACTCGTTATCTTACAGAATGTGAAATGTGTTCACGCGTGTATGCGCATCGTTCGCGGGTGAAAAACCAACAAAGGGTGAACGAAACCGTTCCCTGTACGTCGAGGTACACTGGTTACCCGTAATTCCTAATGTCACCAGAGTAATGGTCCCTGGTAGCTTCTAGATCTTTGCCATACGAGATTACCAGAGACATTAAACCAGTGAAAAACAAAAAAATACGAAATGAATATCCAGAATCACTGTACTCTCAATTCCACGCGATCAGACTTCACTCTGTTTCCCAATGCTTACACACGGTCACTTTCTTCTTCGGGGTTGAACTTAACTTATTACACGATTTAAACGGTCGAGTCGTACACCGTTACCGAACGTTGCTTGGCCCCGAGTTCTTCGTTTATTTTCTGCCATTTAATTCGATTCATTTTTTTATTTTTTCGCCAAATAATTTTGACGGTTTAAATTGCATCCCTTCGATGTTGTGTTTCTAGCGTTCTCTAATCTTTCGAAAAGTTCACAGAATCTTTATGAGCTATCACCTGTTTTCCTCGTATAATACAGCCTGTACACACTTTCAAGTCTTTAAGTACCAGACGCAGTAGCACGTGATCCAAAACACGAATAAAACGCGAGTCGTTTACGTATTTATACTACGTTCTCTCTTTTTGCGAGGTACCGTCAATCGAAGCGCATATTTCTACGTTTTTTTTTTCTCTTCTGGATATGCAATGTTTGAGCCGTGTTCACGTGCTGCTACGTTCATTAAAATCGCGACTTTCAAATTCGTCCACGGTAGTATCGCGGTCCTTCTCCAATAAAATATCACTTATACATATACGTACGGTATGCATTGATACCTTGTTTCTGGATTCAGAACCTTCATCGTGTGTGTGTGTGTGTGTGTGTGTGTGTGTTCACGCATACATTGTACTTGTTTCCTTTCCATACAATAGGATTACACACGGAAATAATATATTTTGTTCTCACACCAACGAACAGGCAAATGTGAACATAGTTGTACCAACACGATGACGTTTCGATGGAAACTCTTTTAGAATTCGGAATGTGAATCGTTCGTTACATGTATTATTGCTTCGACACGGAACTCCAATTGGGATTTTGGCTGGCAACGCGCTGATAACGGCGCACGACTTGCGCATAAATACTAAACTAATTCGCTATTTCGTAGTCTCTGTCTTGGAAGACACGGTATGGCAGGATTGTTTGATTAGGAATAACGTTTCTTAGGGAAATGTCCGAATTTTTGTTGCCTTAATGTTTCCCCACCCCGCGTTCCCTTGCAGATCGACGCTAGTGTCACCTGTTGTTTATCGAATCCCTGTTTAACCGAGAATCGAATCATCGTGTTCTCCCGATTAAATTGTTCGATATACGCCTTAAGGTGATTTGGTCGAGACGACGAAGCGGGGAAAGTCAAAGGAAGAAAAATCGTTTTTTGGTTCTTTTTCAACGGAGGACAATGAACAAACTATTACCGGATCCACAACTGACGGAAAAAAGTATATTATGGACGCGTTGGCGTTTTAAGTGGACACACGCGAACAACAAGCATCGATCATTACTTAATTTTACGAGAAACAAAAAAAAAAAAAAATGGTGCGAGGTCGAGAACGCAGAGATGCGCGAAATTCTTAAATTCTATTCGGAAATCACACTGACGTTGCCGGCGGATTCTTTCTTCGTTTTTTTTTTTGCACCCACGCGCCCGATTTTCTTTCCTCTTTGTTTCGAACGTTTCAACCGAACAAGAGAACGGACCTTTTTATTCCTCTCTAATCGATCGATCGATCGGGCCCCTTGACTCGTCGTCGACGAATCGATCGATTTTACATCGCTCTCATTGGAACTTAATTCTCTTAACGTAACGGTTCATAAATAATAAACGATTATCGAGTTAATTAAGAGGAAACCGTGGAATACCCGTACACGATTCTATAAACACACACGCGTCGAAATCATTCGATGCAGAACGCTTGTTAATTACGCGACATACATATACACAAGTGTATCCTTATCAATACTTAGGGTAACTAGAGCCATGGAAAATATAAGACGTCCCGGTGTTCTCCCGTACAGGGTGTAAAAAAAAAGAAAAAGAAAATGATTTCTCACGGTTTCTGGATATTTCATCCACATCTTTGGATCAGTATTGCGAGGGCTGAACGAGACTCGA